CTTTAACGCAAGGGTTAAATTTAGTAACCAGTACTGTAGGGTTACGTAATGACTGTTCTTTAGTCTTTTTGATGATGAGTTTTGATCGGTTTGTGTTGACCGTTTCCTTGATAATAGGATCAATTTCCGAAGTAGAGTAACCTCGCTTTGATAAGTGTGTCTTGAAGTCATTAAGTGTTGCATGTAATATTTCAGGGTCAGTGGTGTTTCTTGCATGTCTAATGCATTCTCCTTTAATGAATCCTTTAAACACAGCTGGGCTATGAGCGCTCTGTCTGTGTAGATACTGAAAATTATTTGTTGGTTTGATAAACGACTTGATATCAAGTTTGTTAAAATTTTGAAATTTCTGTCCTTTATAAACTGTAGTATCAAGGAAGTTGACAGCAGATGGAGAAATTTCAAATGTAAATCTTAGATGCTTGTGACAGTGATTGCCGATATCAAAGAATTCTTCTATCTCTGGTTGCGTTCCATTGAATATTATGAAACCGTCATCAGGTTATCTGCCCTGGAAGACAATTTTGCTGGCATGGCGAAATTGTGCCATTATATGCTTTGTGATTTGATACATTCTGATGTCACAGATCTCTGGACTGGGGACTGCCCCCATACTTGCTCCTATAATTTGTTTGTAATATTTTCCATCGAATTCAAAGTAATTGTTTTCCAAGACGCATTTCAGTAAGAAGTTGAGATCCTCAGGGTCCGGATATGGAATGTCTAAAAGAGACTTCCTGTTAAACATTATTTTCATAAATTCTCGGTAGTGAAACCAGAGGTAGTACGGCTAGGTTTTTGTAAAACAGTAAACAAGTTAGCTCTAGGTTGAAAAAACGAAGTTGATCTTATATATGTAAAGCCAATAAATGCACAGAAAATACGATAAATATACTTATTTCATTAATATTTATACTAGTAATTATATCAAAGGTGGATCCAGGACCGGCGCGCCGGGCGTGCGCCCCCCCCCCCCACCCGCCCCCGTTTCAAATATTTGTATATAAAATCTATAGGTCTATTGTCCTAATTTCTGTACAGCCACCAGACCCCTCTGTCTTCTCCTGTGCCCCCTCCCCCGTTACGAAATTCCTGGATCCGCCATTGTAAATGCTCTTCTTCTCAATTAAGTGCATTATCTAAGTAATGGTACAATTATAGTTCATTGATATAATATTATGCATGTACAAATAAACACTATTACATAGCAACATTTTGCCGATTCTGGGAAAGTAATAAATGAGTACTGCATAACTGATTTCCCCCTGCCAGGAGTTAATCCGTATATAATCTTGATGGACAGCCGAGCGCTACAGGTCACGCAGTGGAAAATTTTCTCTTTATATATATCGCATTTCTCTTTATATATATCGAGGTTTTGTTTATATATATATCGCATTTCTCTTTATATATATCGAGGTTTTGTTTATATATTTCGCATTTCCTTTATATATATCCAGGTTTTGTTTATATAAATCGCATTTCCTTTATATATCGAGGTTTGCTTTTATATATTGCTTTTCCTTTATATATACAGGTTGGCACTAATGGGCTTCCGTATGTATGTTCATATGCATGTTGTAAAAAAAAAGTTCTAAACCTTCAGTTTAAACCCTAAACCTTTCTGCAACTATCCTTAATACTAGTCATCAATACAATTTTGTGTCACTTTAAACCGAATTATTGCAAAATTTCGAATGAAAAATTTTAAAATTATACAGTTAGACGTATTCATTTTACTCATAAATAAATAGTTATTTTCAAGCTATTTGATGAAAAAATTCGATTATATCATCTGTCCTTATATTCCAATACCAGTGAATGACTGGAGTTCATAATTATATGGAAAAGTAAATCTAGACAATTATTATAGGGATGATGGTGAGACCTAAGGAATCTTGGAACTCATAAGATCAACAGTAATAGTACATTGGGTATTATTGAATGCTAGATTTTAGAACATGAACATGTATTCCAGTTGTAACAGAGTGTCTGGGATATTGCTTTATGAAAGCCAAAAAAATTCTCGAGAATAAAAAAAACCGATAGACATTCGACTATGATATGGAATATGACTATCTGCTTTCTGGAAGAAATGCATGTCTTGTTTGTATTTTGTAATTGTACTTCAATATGATCGCTATTTCAAAAGGATTGTATAAATGCTGAAGACGTTGTATTTTGGAAGTTCAGAGCAAAATATGAAAACATTCGACTTGATAGATTTTTTTTCTATTTTCCTTATAGTTTTAGCCATTAGCGAGATTACTATATCTGTATCATCAACTTATTTGTTAATAGCTTAACTTATTTTAGACATAGTTCTAAGTAGAGCAGAGCATGCTCTTGCAAATCGAGTCAATTAAGTGTCAAATATCTCCATATACAACAAAATTAAATTTACTTCATTTTTCTAATATTTCCAGACATGGTGTCAAAAGCCGGGACTTTATCACAAGGATGATTGTATAAAGTGTTGAAAAGTCCAATGTTCTGATGTTGTAAATTTTAGTAAAATAAGGCTGTGCTCTAGAACTATGCCTAAAACAAATCAACTTAAAGAGTACTGTGATTATTCACATCTGATTAAAACCATTTTTGTAATATAGAGTTGCACAGTATTCTTTAATTTTCTTTTTCACTGGTGATAATTATTTTGGGAGGTGTATGGAAAGCGGTTTAGTGGAAATGTATATTTCATTGCAACTGTCCTTCTTATTTAAAATCTTATTTCGCAGTTATAAAAAGGTGTGTGAAATCTAGCTATTGAGTGCTAAAAACTGAAAATATCATACAATATACATTTGCAAGACATGTATCATCGCAACCCTATTTTTATATACTAGTATACCGGTATTGAATCTGTTTATTAGAAGATTAAATGAGTGTGTCTGCAATATGATTTTTTGCTAAATTTACACTTTTTTATATTAAACACTTGAAGAACTATATACGGAATAAGCCCAGCCACTTGTTTCCTGCAAACAGCCTAGGGCTAATCTAATCTAGTCGAATAGGACTGAGGTGTGCCATTTATTGCTCCAGTCACCTTATGTTGCTTGTGTTTCCAGAAGTGTTTAATTCAGAAATAAATAACAAGTTGAAATGAAATTTGGTATACAGATTTATCAAAAAAATATCTAGGTCAAGTTCTCTTTTTGGTACCATGGAGCCATTTTGGACAGTGGTTATGTCCCTTGGACTTCCAATTATTTTGGGGAGGGGGGCATAAGTGTTTTACAAACATATATTGCTTTTAAAAGGTGTTTAAGTTTTCATTTCAGTTCTGAATATTTCATTTCAGTATATGCTACCTCTGCAAAGAAAATGAATTGAAGTCCTTCTGGACCGACCTACCGACCGACGGCAGTAAAGCAACATGCTCTCCCTCTCAAAAGGGGGGGGGCATAAAAAATGAGGAAACTCACAAACTTCACAATGCAACACATTATGAATGGCACAGTACACTTTACTCAAATATATACTTAATATCTGAGATGAAATTTTGTGCTGCGGTTAAAGTTGAGATGCCTTGACAAACGGTTCATAACTCTCTCAAGATATGGTTAAAATTCCCAGAAAAATAATGGAACTGGAATTTCCTGGCAATATGTACATCTACACACCGTGTCCTAAATATATGAAAGTTTGTCAAAATTCTATGCAGCAGCTGAAGAGGAGCTTTGCTGGCAAAAGAAAAACTTACTGACAGACAGGTCAAAAACATCATGTTGCATGGGGTTTCAATATTATGAAAGTTTATAAATAACAACAAAACATGCATACAAAATAATTTAATAGAAGACAGTAAAAATCAGTCATGATTTTGAATCACTTCACATCATGGCTTCAACCATAATTTTTATCAGCATACTTCTGTATTTATATTAAAATGCAATCAAAGGTACAGCATATTGTAAATGACTTGACATAACCCTAAATAGAGTTGTGCTTTTCATATTTCAAATGTCCCAACTGACTCAATATATAATAAAACTATGAACATCATCTGAATCATTTATATCTTAAGAAAGTGCACGTGTATATTTGCAGAAGCAGAAATGAACAGTTTCTTTCATGTTGTAACAAAAACATTATTAAGCTTTAAAGAGGATGCACTCTCATTCAAATTTAAATATTGGGATTCAAGCCAAACTTCTCTTTTGCATCATCATGGAAATGATTCACAGAGAAACGATTCACATCAATTTCTCATACAAAAATCATTATTAATCTCAGACACTTAAAATCAATTTTACACCATAGTAATTTCCATATTCATTTTTTATACATAAGTTGCATGTTGCTACAAGGAATGACTTCAGCTTTGTTTTCATTCAATATAAAATACAAGTACAAACAAGGCCAAGTAAACAAGTTAATATATTTCACTTTTTACGTGCAAGGATAAAAAGATGTTTTAACTGTAACTTAGGGCTTTAAGAAAAACATACTTATCAACATTGCTGACAGTCAAGTTTGCATGTAATGTATATGAAACTGTATATACACAGAGTACTGTACACACAAAACTAACAGAAAAACATGCATTCACACAAAACATCTCTCAAATCATTCTTATAATAATTTGACAAGCTATGGTAGTATTTTCTCTCTTTTAAAGATTAAAGTTTCCCTATCATATAACAACAAGTAAAACTTGCATGAACAAGTTTTTCTTTAAACATTGAAATGCAGTTTCTAACTAGTTTGCTTTTTTGTTTTATATTTAAAATTCATCAAAATAAAAACTTGAATCATGCAGTATTCTGGCATTATATAGGTTAAGTTCAGGTAAGAGTCCTCAACTTGAACTCTCTTTGAACTTACTGTACACTGGGTTATTTTGGCCACGTCTTATTTTCGCCCTTTTGCACTTGCGGACAATTTGGCCCCATTTTAAATTCGTCCGGTCATAGTTTTGTTTAAGAAATTATGCTGTGTAATTTGAATTCGCACCGTTTTAAATTCGCCCAATCAGGAGGATGGCGATAGGGCGAAAATAAAACGGGGACGAAAATTTCCCTGTATACAGTATTCATCAGAAAAAAAGGTATCTTAAAAAAGCATCCATCTACATGTAATATCATGAACATGAAGGTACAAAATTTAACATTTCTGTCATACACTATCAACAGGTTGCTTAAATTTTATGATCATTTACTCTAAACAATCACAAAATTTTTACAAAGTACAAAGATTTTGAATGACAAGACAGCACTCTATTGATTTTTTTTTTTGGCCATAAAATCATGAAGTATGAAAGGTGAGCACTGAGATAATCCTATAGAGAAATCCTGAATATTGAGGTGTCAAAGTTCTTGGTCCAGTTTTCAACTGAGCCACCAGTTATAGAAAGATCACACAGGAATATTGCAGACCCCCAGAGACAACCACACCCCTCAGGATGTAGAGGAGGTGGAGGATTTGCTCTCTGATCTCCCCGTGGGGAGGATGTGACTGTTTTCTTTGATCCAGGGGTGTTCCATGGCATCTTTTAAGTCGATTCTGTGTTTGGGATTGTGACGGAGCAACTACAAACAAAGAATGCAGTTTACTTTTCACCAGTTACCATAGTCTATCTACATGTGTCTTACACCATTTACACTTAGCTTTACCATGTAGCTGTCTTGTGGAGAAATACTGTATAAGTACTTTTTTCCGCATGGTATTAATTTACGCTATGTACACGCTCATCATTTTTCCGCGGAAATTTGTCCAAGCGTACTTAATATAATTGTAAGGCAAATATAGTGACAATCTAGAAAATCCGCATAATTTTCTACCTGCGGATTAAACAGAAATTGAGATTTCGCGGAATTATGACCCCGTGGAAAAAAGTACGTCTAAAGTAGGACAAATAGAGCCAGCCATTTTTTACTTTCAAGAAAGTAACTGACAGTTGAATTTTAAAAGGACAAAAAAATATCCTTTAAATTTGGCTTATCATTTAAGCAAAATGTGATTTTAGCAATTTCATAATGCTAAGAAAGATAATGCTCCAAAGCCAAATGAAATGTTAAGATATTGAATTTCAGCTCCTAATATCAAGATTAAATCCTCACTAAAAATTTTCCTTCCATGATATATAAAAGCTAATGTTCTTTAAACCCTACCTTTGATATTAAATCCCTGGCCCCTTGTGAGACAAAGGGAGGGAAATGCAGGTCAACCTTTGTTATTCTTCTGTAGGTTTCTGTGTTGGTCTCGGCTTCAAAGGGGGGCTTTCCCACTAAGAACTCGTACATGAGAATTCCCAGACTCCAGTGGTCCACTCTCTCATCATGGAGCTGTCCCTCAATCATTTCAGGGGGGAGGTAGTCCAGGGTACCACACAGTGTTGTACGCCTGGAAATTAAAACCAGGAACAAAAATTTAGAATAAAGTGCACTGCCACAGCATATGATACACATATCAAATATTGTTCAATTAATTGTCGTAAATAGTTAAGAATGTACAGAAGAAAATCACAGATCTGCATTTATAAGTCTATAAGCTACCGAAAAAGCCAACAAGCAAATCAAGCAGATATGACATGTCCAGCCTTAAAACAGGCAAACGAAAAACCTCAAATTGTAACTACTGGATAATTCCATTCATCAATATTCTGTTCCACCTATACCTAACGCTTTACCCTTGCATGTCCCATTACAGATAGTCATGTAAAGCATGCACTAACCTTGATGAGGGGGCGTGGACAGACCAACCGAAGTCGGCTATCTTGAGTTCTCCTGTCAGTCCCATTAACAAGTTCTCTGGCTTGATATCTCTGTGGATGACCTTTTTCTCATGACAGTATGACATGGCTTTGAACATTTGCAACATGTGCTACAAAAAAAAAAGAAAAAAAGAAATATGTAAAAGGAAATGTATCATGGAATATTTAAGGTGTAGCAAGTAATTAATATTTTGAATCAGTATCATAAAGTGTACAAATTGATTTGTTGATAGTTGAAACTTTTATCACAGTACAATTACATTAAATTGACAAAGAAATATTCATTATGAATAATAAGATATCTTACGTCCATTCATCCTTCTTAGAATTTTGCACTTTTTCTACATTTTACAGATAATGAGCTGATAACTGATGTTTGTGTCTACCTTCATGAGTTACAAAGTTTGCATTTCATTCTACTTTCAAGATTAAGCATTTATAAGCTCTGCATTAAACTATTATCTTGGACTAATGTTCGGAATCAATTTAACATTAACTTACAGTAGCTGCCCTTTTTTCATCGAATCGTCCTTGCTTCTGTAATTCTTTGTACAGCTCCCCCTTTGGAGCGTATTCCAGGATCAGGTAAACTCTGGACTTGTCGTGGAAGTAACCGTATAGACGTAATATATTGGGGTGTCTGCAAATAATAGAGTTTCGAAATGGAGGCTTGGTCTGCAAACTTGTATGAAATTTTCAAAAGTGGTCTGGATCTTTGGGTGTTATTGAAAAACAAGGTAACATATTAATCCTAACACTCCTAAGGACATGTTGTTTTAGATGTGCCTTAAGAGATGCATGGTATATGCCTTCCATAACTCCTCAAATTCAAGATTCTTCAACAGAATTGTTTGTTACATTGCCTCATCTGTTCACACTTTCTAAGTAAATTCTACCTTAAATGAGATTGAATTTCAATTTCTCTGCGAAGTTGATGTTCCACACCAGCTTTCTGTAATTGTGACTTGAATAAAACCTACAAGACAACAGTACAATCATATCACTTCTGTCAATATGGTCAATGCTAAGAGTTTTTCCTCCTTTGATACACTGCCAAAAATACAACTGAAAGACAATACCTTTAGAGCAATGATAAACTTTGTAGCCTTTTCTCTTGCAAGATACACCGTGCCAAACTTTCCTTTTCCAAGTGGTTTTCCAATATCAAAACTATCAAGTGACCATTTTGATCTTTCTCTGCAAACACAAAACAAAACATATCATGTCATGCATATTGTACTTGATGATGCCTCAAATTGTATAAACTTCAGGGGTGTAGAAGAAATAATTGAGAATCTGTTATTCTTACATAGCAGAGTTTGATTTAATTTCAAAAAACGAGAACACAGACCACAAGTCACTTGTATTTTCTTGTTACTCATTTATATACAAATGTACCCCCCACCACCATTTTTTAATGATCATCCATTATCTTCTTTGAAATGCAGTGACCAAACTTCCACTCATAGTCACCTTAATAGGTATTGGGGCCTGTCAGTTACACTTAAAGTCACTTGGAAGCAAGCATCAGAATTTTAAATTTCATTTACCATGTTTACTTTTGACTTAGAGCTTACTGTTTTGCCTGTTCTTTTGGAGTGTCTTTCACTGGCTCCTTAGCATTCTCCAGGGTTTTATTGGTCACTTCAGCTAAAACCCGTTTAGGTTCCATTCTGAAACAAAGATGCAATGCTTTAATTTGATAAGAACCATTACTTGACAGATCTGAGGTCATGAGTCAGTATGGGAAAATACAATGAAAACAGAAGTTGAAACAAGGAAGGGGTCCAAAATAGCGTCCTCCCTTGTATTGTTTTAATATTATGTAATACTATATCACATGAATTTTAAAAATAAATAATTATTATAGACATGCCGAAAGCAAGCCCCTGTCAATACTTACATGTAGAGCTGAAACAAATTATACCATAAATCAATGTATGAATATTCGTGACTATTCGATTCATATTCGAATACATGTATTTGGTAAGATATTAAAGGAGTTATTATGCCTTTTCACTTTCGTTCATTACTATACAATTTATGTTTACGATAGGTGTAAGAAATAAATGTCTCTTCAAAGTCGTTATGTATATTAAGAGTCATGTTTACTGGTATTTAGTTTCAGCAAAAACAAAATTAGAAAAAGAATCTTTATCTATATTCTGGTTTAAATTTTTTTTAGGTTGTGTTGCATGTTCCAATTGTCAATTCAATTTAAATTAACATCATAAGCCTCTTTACTTCTTCAAAATATTGATCACTGTATTGCAATCAGATTACATAAAACACTCAGTCACCAAACTTGAAGCTGCTTGCCATGTTTTACTGTTATTAAACTATATCAAAATTTAAAATATTACATTCTGCAATTTTGTATAATACAATCACTACAATTTACTAGTCTATTTGTTAATTGGGAATATTTTTCTTTTATAAACTTTTTATTACTTTCTATTTAAGCAAAGTGATAATCATCGGAGAAATGAAATTTACAAACCATGAGGCTAATGGATGTTTGACCTGAAGATGATCAATCAGATTTGATGTCATGCCTTTGTATATCAGGCCAGTAGTACCATGTGAACAAAGTTTACAAACTGCTTTGTCTTTGCTTACGTTTATAAAGAAATGCTCCTTTTTCCACCGCGATCAAAAACTGGATGCTGTACAGTTTATTGCATGACATACAGGTATTAAATATATGTGACCGAATATTCAAATACAAATTTTCCTATTCAAAATATTCGTGAAAAACTATTCATTCCTGAAGGCTGAATGTTCGAACAATTGTTTCAGCTCTACATACACTTACCTCTTCACAAAAGAAAACAAAATAATATCACATATCCTTCAAAGGTGAAACAAAGAAATATTTCTTAGACAATAAAATATACACAATTCAGTGGTATCTGTCAACTCATTGAGATGTGTTTTAACCACAGGGACTTGCTCCTGGCGTGTAAACAATATTTATAAAAAAAAAAAAAAACAATAACCCTACTATAAAACTACACAAGGGAGGACGCCATTTTGGACCCCTCCTCGCTTCAACCTCTGTTTTCGTTATATTTTGCCGTATTTTACTGACTCGCCGCCTGGGATCTGTTAAGAAATGATTCTTCTTAAACCTTGTGCTTAAATTTTCCCCTTGGAGCCTCTGCAACACACATTTCTGAGTAAAAATAATCCAAACGCGCTCGTTAGGACAGTTGGTATGGACAGAAAGCGAAAGTAACCTCGGCGTTTTACATTCGAATACGGAATTAGATCATTCGGCAATCCTCGGCTGACTTCGAATGTGTTTTCGCTTTCTGTCCAGAGGAATCTCGGATTATGTCCATACCAACTGTCCTAACGAGCGCTTTTGGATTATTTTTACTCAGAAATGTGTGTTGCAGAGGCTCCAAGGGGAAAATTTAAGCACAAGGTTTAAGAAGAATCATTTCTTAACAGATCCCAGGCGGCGAGTCAGTAAAATACGGCAAAATATAACGAAAACAGAGGTTGAAGCGAGGAAGGGGTCCAAAATGGCGTCCTCCCTTGTGTAGTTTTATAGTAGGGTTATCGGTTTTTTTTACAAATATTTTTTACACGCCAGGAGCAAGTCCCTGTGGTTTTAACTTATATTTAAAAATAGGATTCTTCATAACCCCTATCTTTGACATATCTTAAAATTCTTTTCATTAGAACTTTACACTATACAGTCATTACTGATGTCGAATGTATTAACGGCATACTATTTCTAGATCATTTTACACTGTAATCGAGATGTAAGAGGAAATCATTCAAAACCAAATTCTTATTTTGGCTCCAAAATATGTCACATTCGAGTCCCACCTCAATTATGTCATTTTACTAAAAATCATGTAGTAAAATTGAAAATTACCTCTAATCGGAACTACAGGGTATTAAAATTTTTCACCGATATATTCAAAAACAGGGGGATCGGGTGTAGTTCAGTTCTGCAACACGTTCAATGTTTTCAGTTTTGAACTTACCTTGAAAACCGCTCTCAACAAAGTGCCCGGATGAAAGATCTGACTAACATACGCAAAAGGCTACTAATGATGTTCTCGCCTCATTTACGTTACAATTTATTTAAAATTAATTAAATTTTCCTACAAAGTAATGATACACAGTTTTGCAAAATTCGGAGGAGAAACCACTTAGCTTTTTTATTTTATTTTCAAAAATAATTTTTTTCCATGTCGCACAAAAAAGGTCGGACTCGGAGAACACTTCCGTTTGAAAGTGAAAGTAACGTGCTTGAGATTTTGGTTTTGAATGTCTTGATAACATTGACATGAGGAGGAATAGTGATTGATGGCTACGGCAAGTGATATGGATCTTAGGCAAGAAGGAACTGTATTTGATTGCCCAATATGTTTAGAAAGGTTAAAAGTCCCCAAATATCTCCCTTGCCTACACACATTTTGTGAACAGTGTATCCACTCATATATTGAAACTTGTGCTAGAACACCAAGCCGCAGTGAAGTGCAAACCTTGACTTTTGAATGTCCTGTATGTCGACAGAAAGTCGTTGCTCCAGAGGCGGATGTTACACCAGAGAATTGGGCAAATAAACTTCCATTAAACCACCTACTATTATCACTTCTGGATAATAAAGTCAAGCTGACACCTACCTGTGACCAAGGGGGAAGTGTTTTATGTGAACCATGCAAACGTGTCAATGAGAGAAAAAGCGCCAAGTTTTATTGCAGCAATTGTGATGACAGTCTTTGTGAAACCTGCTTTTCGTATCTTCACAGACGTGTTCCTCATTATAAAAATCATAACATTACAGACATTTCTGCATCTCCACACAAAATATACTCAAGTTCTGTATTAGAAGTGGAACACTGTAGCATTCATAAAAATAAGCCTTTGGATTTTTACTGTCTTGACCATGAAGAACTGAGTTGCAGTGTTTGTTTTTATGCATTACACAAGAAATGTGTGAATATAAAAACTGTGAATGAGGTTGCAGATAAACTAAATCCAGAACAGATTGATGGCATTTTCTCAACAATGAAAGCAAAGACAGAATCTGAAATTCAGAAAACAAACGTAAACTTGGATCGTCTCAAAGACCAACACAAGAGGATTCAAACAGATGTAGTTTGTTTTGTAGAAGAAATTAAAAACAAGTTAGATGGACTGCAGAGCAAGTTTCTGAAAGATTTGGAAGTGACACATGAAAATGAAAAGTCCCAATTATCAAATACACAGATGTGTCTTGAAAATTTCTTAGAAACTCTTACAAGGTCTGCAAAGACACTTAAGGCTACCAGCAATACAAGCTCAAAGAGACAGTTGTTTCTCACATCTGAGTGGATAAGGACACAACTAATAAAAGATTTAGATGACATTGAAAAACAGAACAAGCATCAAGGTCATGTGGAATATGAAATGGAAGAAGATCCAGTGATGAAAAGCATAAATAGTGTTGAAACACTTTGTAACATTCATGTAAAAAGGGATAGAAAAAGCATTATTCCTGATCTGAATAAGGGAGTGGACTCATTGAAATGTGTAATAAGTTTACCAAAACCAAGGATTTCATTGATGAAAGATCCTGCATCAGTTACGGTAAATCACGTGGCATCATACTGTGTAAAATGTCCAGAAGATACGACCACACCCTGGGTCACGGGAGGAGTGTTCTTAGAGAATGGATCATTGATTATTGTGGACAAACACAATCACTCAATAAAGGAGGTATCTCCATCGGGATCTGTCAAAGTCCTGTTTTCCAAGAAAACAGAAGACATTAGAGGGATATGTCACTCTGGGAGAGATGAAACAATATTTGTTTCCATGGGTGAAAATATCTCTGAATTTTCACTCTCTCCAAGTTTTAAATATCTGAGAGATTTGAAAACTGAAAAAATGGAATTTTATCAACTGATATCATTGAATGACTGTATCTTTGCTCATACAGGAAACCCATGGTGTGTACGAGAAATTCAGAAAGATGGAACGGTTTTAAAAACTCTGAATGGTAGTAATTGTGGGTTTGGATTTTTCACCATCTCCTGTGATGCAAAATCAATCATTTATTCCAAATCAGGCTCGGTTATATGTGATGAAATTAATAGTGGTGAAGAAGTTTTCCAATGTTCACAAGCTCAAATGGGAATTAACAGGAAAGGTGTGAAAGGGCTTGGTGTAGATATTTATAATAATGTTTATATTTGTGATTGTAAAGAAGGGTGTGTTGTGCAGATTTCTAAAGATGGTCAGCAAATCAGAAGAATTTTACCGGCTCTGCATGTTATCAAGAAACCATATGCACTCTGTTTTGATAAGAATGGGAAGAGGTTTTTTGTTAGCTCATGGCTAGAGTATCATGGTATGGTTGAAGTGTATGAATTAAAATTTTGATTAAACCACAAAATTTTGATTTTCCTGTTTTTCATACAATTTATATGAAATTCATGTGGGAAAGGACTATCTGAGATTTTGGAATTTGTGTCCAATCCCTTTGACATATTGTCAATAAAATATAATATGTGGGTGGGGCCAAATTACTTAAATCAATGCATGCAGTCTTTCTTCTTTACTCCAGAGCATCAAACTGCTGACATGATTGAAATGAGCACTATTTGAGTCCTCTACCAAAATTATGAAATTTATGGCCCCAGAGTCAGGGATTCTACTTACTTATAGAAAATACTCTATGATGGTAACAGTCACGAGAGATTGCTGACTGTCCCCCTCCCCCCTTTTTTTTTATCAGGGAGCGGATGGAAGATCTTCGCGACATATAAAAAATCGGTGACTGGATGGAAGTTGCGAAAAGACAAACAATATACATTATTGAAATGCAAGTCGAACTCCGAGGTCAGAGATGAAAAATGTTGAATTGCTACCCAAAGAAAGGACTTAATTGTTCTCAATGAATATACGTGTGAAATATGAAACCCCAACACTAACCATTAAAAAGTTATGGTTTACTATAATCTCCAGTAACTGCACGAATTTCCTATGTAGTCTGTATAGTAACTACATACATGTAGCTGGCTCTTTGGAAGATTTTTAAAACATGCCACCTATAAATTTCACTATATTTAAATGATTTCCCCTTGAATCAGGCTGTGATCCTTCATTTTAAAAAAGGATGCTCCATGGCAAGTTTGGTTGAAAGTGGACCAGTGGTTCGGGAGAAGACGTCCAAAATGTGAAAAATTTTCGGGCGGACGGACAAACAGACGGACTACAAACAAAATGTGATCAGAAATTCATTTCAGGTGAGCTAAAAAAAATAACGGCTAATGGTACTTTACGGAACGAAACGGAACGGAACGCAACCAGTTGTGGGGCACCCTAGGGGGACGGGGAACAAAGATTGATAAGTGTACCATCCCTCATGATTCAGATTTTCACCTCTTAAGAATTCAAATAAATGCTTGCTATCATACATGTTAAAGAATAATTATTTTAAATAACTGACAAAGAATTTTGATTTTTGTTTTATTTTGGCATGTATTTGTCATGATGAAAGAAATCCACATTTTCTGGATGATATATCAGCTTTTATATTATATAAGCTTTATATACTGGTATTACCTGTACTCATTATGTTGTAATTAAGCATGAGTAAAATATATTCTTATAATAAATGTTTTTCTTTTGATGTAGTATTCTTTTTAAAATTCATTCTTGTTGTGTCAATAATGCAATCAATAAATAACAAGATGTGTTTGTGGAACACTATGCGCCCGGCGGCAACAAAATTTTTTTAAAAAGCTATTTTCAGCCTATATGTCACAGTCATGGTCATTGACCTTGGTATTATTTGAAAGAAATTGATTAGTAAAGTATGGATACCAAATATGAAGTCTCTATATCTCTTGTGGTTCAAAAGTTATGACAAAGGTACGAAAAAACTATTTTTAACATAAAGGTCACAAGGTCATTGCCCTTGGTGTCATTTGAAACAGATTCATTAGTGGAGTATGCATACTAAAAATGAAGTCTCTATCTTCTATGGTTCAAAGGTGCGAAAAAAATTTTTAGTTATGGCAAAGGTGAAAGGGCTTAATTAGTGGAGTAAAACTATTTTTAGGATCACAGTCAAGGTCACAGGGCCATTGACCTTGTTGTCATTTGAAAGAGCTTACTCAGTGAAGTATGTATACCAAATA